GTCTTGGAGCTGATTTATTGCTTGAATTTACTAGCATATTTATTTCTTACGTGATGTTAAAGAATATATTGCTTATTGAGACTCATACTACAATACTTGACTTTTTTATTTCATGTATTGGGTATGAAATATATATTACGCTAGCTACTAACATGGATAGAACTTTGAATATTTCGCCAATTTTTATTCCGAACATAAATAAGTGACAGGACGTTGAGTCATTATTGAATTTTTCTTTTGTTCCATGTTCAATAAATTTACGCATCATGTTCAGTAACGCGTGTTACATTTTTATTTTATCACATAAATAGTCTATAGACACTTTTCGATCTTAGTTTAAAAAAATGTGAACTTAACCTACAAAAAGCGTTCATAATTATGAGACAAGGAGAAATTTTAATATATATATCTTATTAAGACCACATTGAGTTACAAAATTTAGTATGTTTTAAAATGCGGACTAAGTGAATATTTTTTATTTTAGTTAAGGACCAAAAGGCAACTGTATAACTTAATAAATGACTCTGTTAATATTTAAATAACAAAGTTGTGAAATTTATGTATTTGATTTTAAGCTGTTAACAAGTCTAAATTAAAATAGTATTTTCCTTTAAGTTGACACCAGATTTTAAACATGTGCTTTGCTTGTTAAATTAGAAAAAAATGTATTTAATACACCTGTGAGATAATTTAAAATGTGTACTTTAAAAAGATTGTGTCTTAATTTATTAAAAATAGAAATTATAAAATATGTGAATTGTGTAATAAAAATATAAAGGATATAAAGAAGTAAAGTAATTTCAATATTTGAGAAATTGGTTCATTAGCTTATTGTTTTCGTCAATTTATTGATTAATGTATAATAAAATTATGTTCTTACAATTAAATTTATTGTACACATTATAAAAATAGAATAATTCAATGAATATATTTGTTCTATAATAAATATAGGACTGCCAGAGCTATATCCTATTATAAACGAATGGAAATAAAAAAGTATTTTTTCAAATACCGACAGAGTCGTTAAAACGTTTCAGTTTCTTTTTCACAAAAAGAATGATGTGACACGTTGATACACGTTTGGGCAAGAATTTCTGTTGAGGGATAAATAAAATTTGTACAACTGATGTGTACGTATATTTATATTCTTACAGTACTCGGTAATCCGAATATAATTACACAAATCGTGATTGGTCAATCCTAATAATTATTTTAACCTTTAATGAAAATCTTACCTAAAAAAATCCAAACGTGGGAAGCACGAACAGAGTGTGTGGGATGGGAGTGGAAAACCCTCGACCTTTTGTTCTTAGTGCGTTCTGCAGCGTAGGAGAGGTTAACTAACTACTAATAAGGGCATGTCATTCGGAGAGGTTGATGATAACCCCACGAACAAAATTGTTACGTATATAAAATAGATGGGACCCGATTGTCCACTGTATGCAGTATAGTAGATTCTGTAACCTGAAAGTCATCCATGTCACGGAACATGAAGAGTGTTGAGCAATAGCACTTCTTTTCTTAACAAGGCCTCATCCGTGAAATCTCTGAGGTTCAATATGGCGTCGGTACTAGACTTTTCTTCTTGAAAACCAAAGTGCCACTGGGCTTTTACGAGTCTCACATCGTCACCAGCGTTACCTAGTTGCACTATAGATAGGTAGGCAGTAGAGCCCGAGGAACGTCCTGGTTTAAAAAAATGAAGTCTAAGCGGTGCGGCCCAATTATTCAATATATAAAATTAACTCACAGAGCTTCTGGAAACAGTATGCCAAACCACATTAATGGCATATCCTATGCTAAACCAATTTGAAGGATATCTTTATTCAGCACCCAAGAGAGGTTGTTATTTTTTAAAACCTGCATCTCATATATACAGTTATCTTAAAATTAATACAGCAAAGCTTAAAATAAAACACACTGATTATTATGTTATATTTAAAATTGTTTCTTTAACAAAAAGTACAAATAAAAACCTTTCACTTTCCCTGATTTGTTTTGCAGTGACTAAATAATAAAGTAATGAGCGCATCGTGAAAATAACGCAAATGTCTTATTTATTTGGTTAACTTATATTGCCTACTTTCAAATTGGACAAAAATCATAATACTGCATGCATTCAATGAATAAATTAATGTTTTTCCTGTGTATTTTTGTCAAAAAATAATTGGACCTATATAATTAGATGTTCTTGGGAACAAATAAACATCCTTTGTTAATATAATTTATAATAAGGTTGAGATCAATACGTAAGCAATTCAACTGATTACTACTCCACAAAAATTTATTGTACTCAAAATGTGTATTGTGCTTAACCTTGTATGAAGATCCATTTAATGGTATTGTGACCATTACCGATATGAACAGTCATCAGTGGCCATTCTGATCTGAACGCTATACTGTGTAAGGATGGTTTATTTAATCATCTCCATTTAAACAGGATAAATATTAACTATTAAACTTAATAATTTATTTTAGCAACACAATACAACTACCATATAATTACAGCTTAGAGGAAACTTCGTAATATCAACTGCATATTTTATGTCCGTACTCGTATTCCTTTTAGACGAGTTAAAATTTTATAAAATTTACTCGCATATTCAAAATTATTGTAATTTTATGCATTGTTAATAATTTTAATTAATATTCATCTCAAAAAAGCCTTAAAATCATCGGCAGTGGTTTTTTTTCTGTAACGGATGACAGCTAAAGGCTTTTAGTCCCAGATCATATTAGCGGGATGGCTTATACGTGTAAAGTTCGCAAGCACTAATGAATTATAAAATGGATAACAACTAGCACAAACAGACATCTTTAGGAAACTATGTATAACAATAGTTTATTATGTTAATAAAAATATGCTTCTATAAACAGTTTTACGTTTTAGGCATTTTCCATTCCATTACCTGTTCATGAATTATGAGTACCTAGCAGATAGCTTTTGATTTATATGATCTCGAAATATGTGAAAAATTGCAAAATTTTTCATCGCGTCCCCGAAGCTTGCATTTTGGCTCGCTTCAATGAATCGTGGAATTATTTACGTCTACAATTTCAACATTTTAATTATATATTGATACCGAAAAAAAAAATTCAGAAAAATCACTGTTTGAAAGACGAACACAAACTGACTTGTAAAATTTTTTTTTTTTAGGTAATAACATTCAATATTTAAAACTGAAATACGTATTTATTCTTATAACTACAGAAGTGAGAAATATACGTGAAATGGAATTACTTGATTAATTGAATTCAATTGCATGTGACAAGATTCAATTGTAATTGAAATAATTGTTTGAATTAAAATATATTATTTTTCTATCACGTTCATTTCGTTGGTCGTAAATCGTTTAAACGTTATAAGTGAGTCAGATTTCAACAATTCATTTTTGACAGTGTTATTTTTTATAGAAGTGTTCATAATCAGACAAATTCTAAATCTGTATAAAATAAATACGTCACCATTGTTTCAGAGAAACCATAATTTGTTCGTGGTAAGGTATTATGTAATGTATTATAATAAAATATTTCATCAAAGTAAAACTCTTTTCAACTTCGTTGTTCCTAAAATTTTGATATACATACTAAATATTGAAAAACTTACTAATAAGACATCACATAAAATTAAGAAACTTCGCAATTTTCTTGAATAGCTGACTTCGAGAAAATTCTTCTGAAAATGTTATGAGATATAAGTGGAACTCAATAAGAAAACGTCCCTATTTGCCAAGAAAAGTACTGATAATGTTCAGAGCTTTATTAACTGCAATGGCATGCTATAAGTATTTACTAGCGTAAAAAAGACTATAGACACACGAACATGACGACGCTTATTAATATTACTTTCTTTTAAACTACTTTATACATGAAATGTTCTTATCTACTACTTTATAGTAAGTTTTAAAAGTCTGGTAATGCCACAGAAACATCTTTATTCGACTCACAAGATCAAATACGATTAAATAAAGTCTATTAGTTACATTTAAATATCACATTTTTATACACGAGGTAGTGTGGTCAGATGAAAAGTTAATATCAGAGCATTCGAATAAAAAATCAATGGTAGAAAACTCTAAAAAAATAAAATAAAACAAAATTAAATAAACCGCTTAAAACTGGCCTCATTTAACGAATGGAGTAATTTTTTATTAACCTCAGTTATTTGTACCTTTGACTGATTGAGTTTGATTGTGTGAAGTTTTTATATTTCATTGAGTGGAACACGATTGAGTTCATAAATATTTTTCTAATTACTTTTCAATTAACATATGATATTCATTAAAATTATGATAACTATATAACCAATACAGATTTTTTCATATATAAGTTTATATTTACCAATGTGATACATTTTTTTATTCGCTCGACTAAAATTCTTATCAATAAGTTAAACTTATTCCAGTCAAAGGATCGCATAGCAATAGTATCTAAAACAGAGGTAAAATGAGTGAGATGAAAAAAGATGAATCATTTTGTTGTCTATAATGTCGAGACTTAGAATCTTTACGTAATATTTGTTAGCGTTACATCATACTCACTAACTTAATATAAAAGATTAGAATTTTGAGTACATTCCAGCAGCGGGCAACGACTTATTTTTAAAATAAATATAAAGCGAATAGACGTATTTTATTTCACTTTCATAAATCTCACACTGGTATTTTAGACTGGGGTGACGGGGTAAAGTTATACATACAATGAAAAAAGCTTATTTTATTTCTGAGAAAATTTAAAATATTGTGTGTTATAAAAAAATATATTTAATTATACCAGATATGTTTTTATGCTATATAATTTATAATTAAACACTTGTATTTTTTTTCCAATTCTGCTGAACAAAAAAAATATTGTAGTATGCAAAATTCAAATTATAAACTGCTTACTCTGCTCAATATATAATAATTAACGAAGCATTATATTAGTAAAATAAATATCGAAGGTTAATAACTGATTACATGAGTTCTTCGGAGTCGCGTTGCACGGGAGATGTTTGTAATATGGCGTCATTGTTTGAGGTGGTAGAGGCGGAGCGCCCGCTAGGACCGGCGAGCGACGAGCGGCGGCCGTTCCTCATTCCCGCTTTGACTCTCGTTCCTCTCAGTCTATGCGAGGCGGCGGTAAACGCGAGACACTGCCCATCGACCATGGGCACTATGAAGTTTCTAAACTTCCTTCTCATACTTAACTTTATAATTCTAACATCGTCCGAAGTATGTCCGCCGAAATGCCAGTGCAATAGAAACGCCATACGATGTTTACACCAAGATTTGCTGGAGATCCCGAAGTCGCCGGCCGAAGCGCATACGTTGTAAGTATTTCAAACTTTTGTTCTAACGTCTATTTTTATACTTTTATTAATACTTTGCGTATGCGAATGTTGACTGTGCGTTATAATATTAGTAACAAATATTTTTTTAAGTTAAAAGTTTGCGATTATATTCACCGTTCATGCTAACTTTTCTGTTGATAGCCTCAGCCAATAAACTAATAAGAATGTTTGGGCCGAAACTGCCTTAGCCGGTTTTATTTCTGACTTATCCTACCGTTGTCTGCCTTAAAATTGTGACTCTTACAAATCGAGTCTCATACGTTTAAAATATATATGTCGTTCTTAATCGTTCTTAATCATGAATACTGAAAAGAGACAAATATATCTTGGTCTTAAAAGTCTAAGTAATTTCAACTTATTAATGTCCAATTTTATTAATATATTCCATTTCCCAAAAATAAGCGCTTTTTAAATAATAATAACGGAAATATTCAAAATTAAAAATCTCTTTATTTCTCATTATCCAGTTAAAATATAAGTAAATCTATAGATTATTAAATGAAATCAGACATATTTATCATTTATAAAGAAACGAGTAAGAGCCACATTTAAATAATTATACCGTACTTTAAATAATCAATTTACAAAAAAAAAAAGCTATGAAATTATTAAATTATTACTTTTTTCTGTGCAAATCTGTAAAATTATAAATTAAATTCTCATAGTATTGACTATTTTCACTAGTTTATAAGGCCCTTGATAAATTCAGTTGGTTTAAGAAAGCGATAAATGTTAAAGCATTTTTGTTTGTTTGTCCTACAAGCAAACAGATCGGCGTGATTTATTGTAACAAGTTAGCTGACGAAGGCGTTGTGACGTCGGCCACTTCTCATGTCGAGGAAATTTCTTATCAAATATATTTTCTAACCACAAGGACTGTGATTGTAATTTCTATTTTTTTATTTTAACAAATTACGATGGAGGTACATACCTGGAAAGGAGTTTGAATATTTCAGTCTTTTTATTTGTACCGTAAGAAACCCTTTTGATAAAAGAAATGATGGAGTCAAAAATTGTAATGCAATCATAAAAATCATACTTTAATTACTGAGATAAATACTTAAAATATATATTTTTTAATTTTAACCGACAAAAAAGGGTTTTGGTAAAATTAAAATGTTTCTCAGAATTTGAGGAAAAAATAACAGCTTCATTGTGTTATCATGTTCGTCAAAGGAAGTTCTTATCTAATAATTTATACATTCCCAATAGAAATTTATCATTCTCGCTTCCATTCTGACTAAAACATTAAAAATATATTTAAACAATACTCAAATTAGGTCCTATAATGAATGAATGAGATAAAAAATTGGCTGCCTTTAGCATTATCAATGCAAGCGCGTACCTATACTATGTATTATGTGAAAAATAAATAAATTATTATAAAACCAATCTTTGACATGCTTCAATATATATATATATTTATATATATATAGAAGATTAGTAACTATAAATTTCATTTATAAAAACATTTTAATATTATTAAATAAAATTTAAAATTGTTCTTTAACATCATTATTCTTTATTTTTAAATATCTATATTTGAATTTGTCAGGAATTTATATTCATTGGTGTTGAGTAATTAAGAAGTTTTTTATATAGAATGTTTGTATAACATGAGCTAAAAATAAAATCCCAATACATTCAACAAAAATAAAAACAGCAGGACGACTTAAATATTTGAAAATCAAAATAAACACAACAAAGGTTCTAGAAGATTGTTTTTTAACAGTCGTGTTGCCTCTTCTAAAATACATATAATGACCTCTCAGGAAAAATCTCTAATGTACGAGGCAAATTAATTGGCATCTTTTGACTTTTAAACTCCATTTCTTTTTAGAATTTTTAACATCAGGATGTTGATTCATATAAAAATAGTTTTTTTAAATTCGTTTCTATTTAAAAAAGAACATTTTCGTAACAGAAATATATTTTTGACATTTCGCTTTCGATGTCTTTATTAATTTCAAAAAAAATTATAAAATAATATAAAATATAATAAAACTTTATCGTCCAGCATTCATCTGTTTTGATCGATTCGAAATATACGTAAATTTAAACGATAGTGTGAAAACGTTTTAGTAACTGAGTTCATATGAAAAGCAAAAAAAAATTTTACCAATTTTTTCTATTATTCATATCTGCGATATATTTTTGTGTAACTTAGTTACGATCTCAATCAAATTTATGTCACCCGTACATCGACTGTGGATATATTAATTGAACCAATATTACAATTAGCGCATATACAAATTCACAACTTCTATTAAAAATTCATGAATGATTAAGACAAAAGTATCTATAATATAAAGGGTATGTCAACTAACAATTAGTGAAACAAAATTGTTTCCGACAACACTACGATGTTGGGACAGTCTATTAACAGTACATTAATAATTACGGAGTCACGTTTGAATTTAAGAATTATATAAAAATTTTCCATTATTTGTTAGTATTTCAACAATTTAAAAAAATCCACTATTTGATATCGTGTGATATACGTGTATGTCAACACTTGGATAGCGACTTTTATGCATATCGGATTTCAATTGAATTAATTCCAGCGTAGGACGCATTCTGCTTACTATCAAAATAATTTTATCAAAATAAAATAAAAGCAAGTTAAGAACTTTATCAAGATATAATTTATTTTTAAATTGATACTACATTGTTAATGTACTTTGGTTAAATACCGTAATGGTTACTTTTTAAGATTCTTTGCTTATTCCAGTATCTTTGGATATTTTTACTACTTTTCATTCATTTTTGGTCAGCGATATTTTAATATGAATTTCCTGTATAGTATCTTTATTCACAAGATTTTAATAAAACAAATACTTCAATTTAAATGCTTAAGAAAAACATGGAATGAAAAATTGAAGCAGTCGAGCAGAATAGGAATCTGCAACTTCAGTTACTTCACCGATTGAGCTACCCAAGTCTTTTTTATATTTAACTAGTATGTAGAAAAGGAGATGCCATCTAATAAGTTATCTTATGAAATCCGAACTAAATTTTACTTTGAACTTTAACACAACATTCCACAGGTGGCTACCATTTCTCCTAATGCTAAAACATAATAATATGAATGAAATATTTACAATCACTGCCGAGGGTATTCATGTACATAAATCCTCGATATGTTTTATTGACCTTTAAACGTTATTGTAATAAAGAACCCGAATATTATGTTTCACAAACTGAGACTTTGAGTTTAGTGTATTCTGTGAGAAATTTGGTTGAGTTAGGTAACAATTTTAGTTTAAATAAGTGTGAACTATTTCTGTCAAAGGAACTTAACGTAGGTGCATTGTACACAGCCACAAACAGTCTATTAAGAACGCTACTTCTACTGAGCACACGTAAATATTACATTAATTGTTCAGCGGTTAGATGTCTGAACAGAGTAAGGAAAACGATACTTTTTTATATATAGGTACCTAAAAATGTCTAAAATATAAACCAAAATAGATTATTAAACAAACAAAATTTTAATATGCTATTAATATTGGAAAATATGTGAGGGAGGTACAGACAAACTCCAGATGTATATTTTTCTACTCCACTTTCCTCATTTAAAAGCCATAATTTTTTTCATCAGTTCTCATTTTGCCAGATAACAAACAGTTGAAAGTATTATAACTAGACAGACCGATGCAAAGGAGGAAAAGATATGTTTTTTAAAATATATAACAATTTTAAAATAAAAGGTTGATATTTTCAAACCTTTTATGCAACCAATTTTGATTTCACACTAGACTTTTCGCCAAAGAACTTTGTCCCAGTAAATCAAACAACTGGAGATTCACTAGTTGGTATCATATTTCTTTGTTTTGTACTATTGTTTGAGCTAAAAGCCTAACAGACATTGGATGTTAATGGCTTGTATAATCAAACACAAGGCTTTAGCTTTCACCAAACAAGTTATAACATGACTATAATTTTGGCAATGTTGAATTCACTAGTTTTTGAGGTTCATATCTAGAATTTCATGATGCAGTCTATAGGCATAGTCTCTGTGGTGGTTTCATTGTGGAAACAAATCAATGTATATGTACATTATTTTACTGATTTATGTTTAATTTCTATACGTATTATATTTAGTTATGGTATTTACTGACGATTTAAAACATTTATATTGGTGATTGAATTTATGCGAAACTATTTTGGAACGTATGAATAAATAACACTATATTAATAATAATTATTAAATAAGTTGGTTATAGCAAATTTATAACAAAGCATAATAAATAATACGGATACCAATGATTTGTTACAAACGTATGGTACATAACTGGCTCTCCAATCGACGAACGTTGCTGAGGACCGAAATAGCTTCGTTTGATGGAGCCCAGATTTAAACTATGTACAGGCGATTTGTGTTCTACATTTTATAAATTAATATAATTAGCTATAAACTGTATCGGCAAATCGAATTCATTAAATTGTGTCAAACATGATTATGTCTATTTTATTAAAAAATAATATAAAAGATAATCTTAAAAACTATATTCGTATCAAGTTCACGGTGAGACATGCATGATTGCATGGCGAGTATTCTTGGAGATTACAAAGACATCTGTCAATCTAATTATGCGCTCATGCACCTATGAGAATTAGGTACTTCATTTTACGAATTTTGTACGAATTCTGTATAAATACTTATATATTTATATTAATTGGCGTGTACCAAAATAATATTTGAATAAACAAAAAGTTTCATATCATTAGGTGTCATTAGAATTTAATTGTAATAATACCTATAGTATTTAAATGTTACAATTGTGATATGAAAATGATCTTACAATTATTATATGAACAATTCTCGTTCCAAAGGCACGTGGTGACACTAAATTATGTATAGAATATGTTACGAGGTATGAGTTACTTCATGTCGAATAGAAAAATTTTCATTTAATACAATATCGTATGTATATGCTAAGTGAAGACTCCTTTAAAAAGAATTCTTTTAAAATTAT